CTCTGTGTGTGTGTGTGTGTGTGTGTGTGTGTGTGTGTGTGCGTGTGTGTGCATGCGTGCGTGCGTGCGTGCGTGCGTGTGTGCGTGTGACGGTGAGTGGTGTTTAAAGTCCTTTATTTGAGTTAGTTTTAATGATTTGGGTTCAAGCGTTTCGTAGTTCTGGATTTTTCTTTTATTATTATTTTTTAAATATATTACATTATTATATTATTATTTTAAGTCTTTTTGGTATAATTCATAAAAATAAGTACAATAATTACTGTTTAGTAATAAACACCTCGTCTCATCATAAAATATTTTTTAAATGAATTTACAAATACAGCTCAAGCTTCTTAACATTAATAATAAATTATATTATAAAGCACTTTTCTAGATATTCAGAAATCCTTTAATTTACAAATTAAGAAAATAGAAAAGATGGAAAATAATAGTTTATTAATAATAATAATAATAATAATAATTGTATTAATTAATTCAAGCAAGAAGTTTGATGGAATCAGTGTTGTAGAAATAATAATAATAATTTATACTTGTTTATGCCTAATGTATTGTTCCAACAGGAAAACATGGACGTGAGTAACATCAGCAAAATAAATCAGGAACAGATCATAAAGGAAATAGAAATTGGTTGATCTTGTCCGTGTGAAGGAATGCTTGTTTTTTGTGCATGTATCAAAGTGTGTGTGCATGTGTGTGTGTGTGTGTGTGTGTGCGTGTGTGTGCGTGCGTGTGTGTGTGTGTGTGTGTGTGCGCGTGTGTGTGCGTGTGGTCTCTGATGGTTTATCACAGACTAATACTCTTGATTTTCTTCAAAGATGACAGCGGACGACGACAGAAAGTCTTCAAGCTGCTGTAACTTTATTGATTAATTCTTCGATTGATTGTTTGACTTAATCACCAGATTGATTCAATAATTTAACAGTGAAATATTCTAAGAGACGGTTTTCACTGAAACAACTGAAAAAAAGAAACCATGTCAGGAAGTGCTTTTATTTTGTTGTTTAAGCAAAATAAAAGCTTCTTTATTTTTTAATTCTCATACAGTCTGTGCAGTGTGTGTGTGTGTGTGTGTGTGTGTGTGTGTGTGTGTGTCGTATACCATGCTCCACCTGGCAGACTCAGATCACATGCAAATCACAGCGGCGGCAGAGACGCATATAAATATTCATGCACACGCATGAATATATTACTACACACATTTGCACTCAGTGACACACACGTCTCTGCCACACACACACACACACACATAATATAGTGTTACAGTTAGTAGTTTTAAAGCAGCAGAGGAGGAGGAAGCTTCCTTCTCTGTAACTCGGTGTCGAGGTGCCCTTGAGCAAGGCACTAAACATCTTCACGGTAACATTTCTAAACACGAAACAGCTCAGTGAAAATATCACAAAAACATGAATCCATTGTAAAACGTATCTACAGATTACGACGCATTCATTTTTGTACTTCTATTTACAAATAAATAGACACCAGGCCGCTTTCATCTCCAATAGAGAACAAGGTGTTTAGCCTAGCTTAGCACAAAGACCTGGAGCTGCTAGCTAAAGTAGCCCGTAGCAACATCTCTGTCCGTTAGCTTAACTCTCATCTCACACAGTAAACGAAATAAATGCTTCTATACCTCCACACTTTTAACTTTCTTTCTCTGGTCTGAATTTAAACTTTTCCTCTTTTCTCTCTTGTCTGACCCTCGTAAAAAAAAAGAAAAGACATAAAAGTGAAACAGCGTTTAAAAGACAAGCAAACGTTTCCCCGGCGTGCGGCAGCTGATTAGCATTTCTAGCAGATCCGTCGAAGCTTCAAACAAGTTTAAAGCTCTGGATAATTACACCCTTCACTCTCCTCTTGTTTCCTCTGTCTGCCTTTCTCCTTCATGTCATATATATATATATATATATATATATATATATATATATATATATAAACGAGAAAGGTGAAGTTCTCACCTTCCTACATTTAAATATATAGAGATAATATAAATATATACTGTAAAGGTTGTGGTCTGTTTCAGAGCCCTATAATCTTCTTTTTATTGCACAAACCACCAGAAAGTGGACTTTGCAGGTATACATTAGACTCAAAGGAAACACTAAATAATAATATTAAACCTTATAAGTAAAATGTAGAAATACAGCAATGAGTTTGAGTTTTTTTAAATCTGAAAATCAGCAAAATGTGCACACGACATGAACGCATTATAAATACAAACATTGTGTCTTTCTTACTACATCAACAGTGTATCATTTAAATAACTTTTGGAGTTTTAAGAAATATTTCGTTCATGTTTCTACATTTCAAAATCTTTTTGATCAAAATGTTTTGTTTATTTAGTGTAATTGTATTTTGTATTAAAGACACACTTTCAACACTTTTATCAATAATTATAGTTCATTAACTTTTATAACCTTTAATGTTGAACAGGATTTAGAGATGTGAAGCATTTGAACATCCAAGAAAATAAAGTCACAATAAGAAACAATACCAACGTACATCCTTGAATACTTTGTTACCATAGGTTCAAATACACGTCGGCTCACAAAGCATTCTGGGTAAAAATGGGTGCAGCAAAAATATGTCCGCAAATTTGGACAATTCTTGGCTGAATATAGATTTAAAATGGGGTCAGTACAAACGAACAAGTACAGAGAGATGATATAGTTATTTTATATGGTTCATCTTCCTGTTCATATTAATCTGGCCACCTCCACTAAACCCCCCCCCCTCTGTTTTGTTTTTTCTCCCGGTCAGGTGATCCACGTCACGGGGCGTCTGCGCATCAGGATGACTCTGACGCACAGCCGCTCGGTGCCCATTCAGATCATGGGGATGGTGGTGGTGGCTCACTCTCTCCCGCCGCCGACCATCAACGAGGTCCGCATCGACTGTCAGATGTTCGTCACGAGAGTCAACATGGACCTGAAGTTCATCTACTGCGAGAACAGGTGATAATGAGTTTGTAAGAACAATTTGTGTTATTGTTTTCTGATTTTTTTAAACGTTTTTAAGAGCACTAGCGGTTGTTGTTTTTCCAGAAAAATGCTTATGAAGATGAATAAATATGTAGGCCAAACCAAGACAACAAACTTTACTTCTCCTTTTAACATTAACACATCCTTCTGTTCTTACCTTTCACAATAAAAGCCCTAGACATATATACTACTCAAATTCACTCAGAGCGTTCTCCTAAAAGGAAACTCAATAAAATATCTTAAAGTAGCTTAAGCTACATAACAGTTGACGCTGCTCTGGTTAACAGGATGCTGGTAGTTGGCATAGACTGTCCAATAAGAAGTGGACGTAGTCATCGTAAACACTCATTGGTTTGTTGATGTTTTGAAGCCTCGAGTTTCGGCCGTCGCCATCTTTGCTCTTTTGCAACCAGTAAACAGGAAGTGACCATATCTGGACTGAGGAGGAGTGACGTAAAGACGGCGTATACGTCTCTGGTGTCGACCTGTCAATAGAAGTAGTCATTTTCTCATAGACTTCTATACAACCAGAGGAGTCGCCCCCTGGTGGACACTAGAGAGAATGCAGCTTTAACACATGAAGCTTTGACTTCACTGTTGCCATCTTGTAGTTAATCGTCTGTCTGAATCTATTCTAACCTTTATTTTTTGGAAAAGTTTTGCAAACTTGCATCGCTGACGGTATTAAACAGTTTTGATGGTAAATATTTATAGTATTTGACATTTTTGGTGTCTTTTATTCGTCACACCTCTGGTGTTTAAAGGCACCTACTGTAACCGTTTGCTTACATTTCCACATCTAACATTTTACATGAGATCATAAAAAATATATATATTTATTGTAAAAACATGAAAACCTGTGTCTTCATTGTCCAGCCGTATAAAATGAACTCATGTTTCATCTTCTTGTTCTGAGAAACTACATTTTTCAGCACTAGTGTGGAACATAAAATCCGTTTTACCGTTTCCCTTCATCGCTGCTGTTGAAAAGGAGAGACGGAGCTTCTTATTCATGAGCAACGTCTGACCCAATCCTCTCCGGTTTAACAGTGAAATGTGCTGCTGATGGATCGAGCTCCTTCGCTCCGTCCAGATAAAAGCAGATAGGCATCAGGATCTCGCTCAGGAGTTAACCGGGCCGACCGGAGGGGAGATTCATATCAGGCAGAAAGAGAGAAAAAACTTCATGTTTTATTATAAAAAGAGAGAGAAAAACGATAGTAGACAGATTGCTTTTTTTGTGGGTGGAAGAGAGGAGACACAATGCGAGGCAGATGATGATATGCAATGCGGAGCGACAGAAAGCATCTCCAGCGTCACTCCCATTACAGCCTCATTTTAAAGGATGAGTTTCTAAGAGAATGAGAAAATGGGATGAAGGTTTTTTTTCTAAAGAACAGAGTGTGCTGTTATCTGCCTCCACATCAGAATGATATCTGGGAAATTGTTTTGTCTGTCCTGTTGTTCAAATTAAACCTTTTAAGGCTGATTTGTGTTACCTGTCCAATAGACAGGTAACACAATTTCTATTCTTCTTCGTCATTCTCTTTTTAATCGTTGAGTGTCTGAACCGTCGAGAGGAAAACCGTCCCAGGGTGACAGAGTAAAATATTCCAGAGTTTCCTCTCCACTTAGATGAAGTGAGTAGATGATAGTTCTCATTCCCTCGGTGCCTCATACCGTCGCACAAGGTACCAACTCAAAGAAAGAACTTCCCTTACAGCAGCAGAGCACTGTTTGTTCCTCGTGTGAGACGAGAAGACATTTATAAATTGGACACCTAACTTCTGTATTTAAGTATCGACACTTCTAACTCAAACAGCCATCTTTTCCTAAAGTTGTTGGCTGTGAAAACAGAAATGTATTTTTGTTTGTTTCGTTACTTTCGTAGGAGAACGCACGAAAAATGAGGAGTAACTTTCCATAAGATATCATTCTCACTGTTGTAGGAGGAGACGTTGCTTCATTAGATTCTCAGAGAAAACGCTTAAAACAACAACAACAACACAGGACTTACAACCAGGAGACCGGAGTTCATGTCCCAAAGTGTTGTTGAGTTATTTTAAAGTTTCAAAGTTAGTGTTGTTTGTGATGAGTTTTTTGCACTTATGTTACTCCGTAGACGTTTCACCTATGTACTTATTTTAAACCCAACCATGATGGGTTTTTTCCTAAACTTAAACAAGTGTTTTAGTTTGAATTCACCACATTTAGTCGTGGTTTTCTGTAGTGGAGCGTCGTAGTTTGACCCGCTGAGGTATAAAAGTGATGCCATCGAGTCTGACCGAGCGTCATGTGATGAGTTGGGATCAGAACGGGTTGGATATGAACACAGGAGCTCGTCAAGGAACATACAACACAAACGGTATCAGACAACGTCCTCAAACAACTCATCTTATATCTTACTAAAAGTTACTCTTCGTTTTTTGTGCGTTTTTTCCTACAAAAGTCCAGCAACACGTGTCAGTATCCGCTCGTTACATGAATAACAGTATCGTCAAAATAAACTTCAGTCTTCACAGGAAACACTATAGTTAGGTTTAGGGAAAGGTCGTGGTTCGCATTTTAGGAGAAAGTAGTCCCTGTGCATCATCACACATTCAAAGTACATATCTTATATTATTGTTATTCAGTTATGTACGTGTCCTTGTGTTTCAGGATCAGCGACTACATGGACCTGACGCCGGTGGACATTGTGGGGAAGAGGTGCTACCAGTTCGTTCATGCTGAAGACGTGGAGGGAATCAGAGAGTGTCACCTGGACTGTGAGTACCTGGCTCCACATGATAGTGTGCTCGACACTGATTGGACAATCAAGTCCACTTAATGATCAAGTCGCATTTAGGGATAATCCTGAATATTAACTTTGGGGGTGAAGGAAGCCGACAGATACTCTGCTGACAGCCAGAGAAGAGTTTTACTTCAGGTTTAAAGTTTGAACGCTGGTTTGTTCTGATTCTGTGAATCTAATTTCAACATTATCTTAACATGACATGGTGGTAAAACACTTTAACGACATTTAATTCAACAGATACAGTAAAAAAAGACTGTGTATCCAAACCTGTCTTCTACAAAATGATGTTACTTTTCAATTGAACTGTATTCTCAACTACGTTTTCCACAGTCACAGCGTAAACACGTGGTTTTAACTGTGAATTGACACAAAACGAAAATACAACAAAATGACTTGTTAAGTAATGTAGGACGTTTGTTACTTGATTTAAACTACGGAAGCACATTGAAATAAGTCAGGATCGACTTGGTTCTACGCAGGACATGAACTACGGGTCTCCTGGGTGAAAGTCTTGTGTTTGTTTGACCCAATTATCCACCATGAACTCCTCCACGTTTATATATATAATAATAATAATAATAATAATACATTTTATTTGTATCGCGCCCTGGAAACACATTTGATGTAGTTTTGTTGTATGTGACCGTGGAACAATATCACAGCAGCAGCGTTTCTAGATGTAACTTGAAAGTCAAAGGCCACTCTGAGAGTCTTTGCTCTTCTGTATCTTTGAAAAGTTTCCTCACAGCAGCAAACGCTACAATCTTATTGCCCTTGTCAGGAGGCATAATACACACACACACACACTCTCTCACAGGTCTGGTGTCCCTGTTTAGTGGCTGTCTGGATGATTTGCGGCGTGATGTTTGTTGCTGCAGTCGGATCTTTTACTGTGGCGGTAAAAAAGCTGAGGAGGCGGTTCAGAGCTGCGCGGCGGGTTTTTTTTTTAACGGCGTGTCGGAGGCAGCGAAGGCGTTTAGGCGGAACGCCAAATAATAACAACCGCCGCACAGCGAGGACGACGTTGCCCTGATGGGATCAAACGCCGCCTGCTGCAGCTGATTACGGTCAGATACTGTGAGCCATGCGGTCATTTCTTCAGAGCTGTGAACTGCATTCACACAAAACATGACGTAAATGTCCTTTAGTTACAGAAATGTGACCCCTGCAGCGTTTCCAACCGTCTGGACGGTTTCCAAATTGTTTCAAGGTTTGCAGGTTCAAAGGAATAATGCAGGAAAAGTCTCAGATAGTCAGAACTAAGTGAGACAGACCAACATCCTGTCGTGTAAAACAGCCTCGAATATCATCAATAACAGCGGGTTTCTGTTTAAGTACTAACAATCGTAGCAGTTTGTTTCGTTCCTCACCTACAGAAAAAAAAGCACTGTAATTCAAAGACATACCAGGAAATTGGTAATTAAATCACAGAATCATGAACCAGGAAGTATGAAGACCGCAGAAGGTCCACACAGGGCAGGAGGGTGTTTCTTCCAGGAGGACTGTATTCATGCAAAGAGCAGCGTGGTGCTGGACGTTCATAGGAGAACACACAAACCGCTGTCTGAGGATACCTCTGCCTGAGTCCAACTGAAGAATGTTTAAAGTGTTTGTCTGCAAAACACTTTAGGTTTGTGTGTCTTTATGTCCATCCACGGCAGTTTTGGGCAACTTTGGAGGTGTGAAGTTGTTACCTTTAGTCTCCATCTGTGACCTCGAGCAGCAGCATGACGTTGTAACAGTCGAATGCTGTGAAGAGACAGACGGATTAAATCACCGTTACTCTGCGTGGGCTTGTTGAAATGAGGGGAAACGTCTTGTGGCAGAGTTGGGAGGATTTACAGACTCTGATTTCTCTCCAGTCAGTCGGCTGGAAGTCATCAGCACTTCTAAAGACAGTTTTAGAAGTTTTACACAGAAGGACAATTCATTTTTAGAAGCTTTAGAAACTGAAGGTCTTAAAAATCTACATTTGAGTAAAATATTTTGTAGCCAAATCAAATAGTTTCCAGAATATTAAACCATTGTTTCTTTATAACACATTACTTGACTTCTTCTTAAAGGCCCGCTGTGGACGCCACGCTCGACTCCAAGCGCCGTTCACTTGTTTATTCAAAGTTTATTAATATTGAATGTGTTGCGTGCACTTCCAACACTGCACGTCCTTGAGTCCTCAGCAATACACCCACCAAGTGTGAAGTAGATCCAATGAACGGTTCTAGAGACGTGCGGAGGACACGCGGACACATTCACAGATCACTTGCTTCATAGTAAATGAAAGAATATGAAGAACAGCTTCGGTATCATTATAGCTTAAATATCCTGAAAAACAAAACTGAGAAATATTTGTATTTCAGTACACTTTATGAACAAGTATATGCAACATCTCGTATTATTTGTTACGTTAGCTACTGTAACACATAAAAACATAAATGTCCCACACCTCACCAGAAAGACAGAGAAAAAGAAAAGAAAAGCATGAAGAGCTCCCTGAAACTTTTTCAATTACCCCCCCTCCCCCCCCTAAAAAAAAAGTTCCTGAGCTCTGAACATCCAGAGTGGCAATCAGGAAGTGACTCTACGGCGGCCCGGCGGGGTCAGATGGAACAAGGAGGGAGAAAAGGTGGAGGGAGGGGGGAGGTTAGGATGTGTAAGACATGGAGAGAGAAAGAAAAAAAAAAAGGAAGAGAAATATGGAGGGAGATTATTCGTCTGCCGAGAGGAGACGGAGGTCAAGGAGGCGAGCTGGCAGCCGGCGCTTTAAATGACTTGGTTTTAGTGGAGCGTGGTCTAATACAGCACCTCCGTCACCTCGCCTGCTCCTTTTATTCTCCCTCTTTCAAAATTAATTCCCTCTCTGAAAAAGAGGGGGAGCTTTTCAGAAATGGATGCTACGGGGCGCTGGAGCTGCTGCTCCTCCGTCAGACTGTTCTGAAATCAGCCTGGTGTCTCTCTTTTTTTGGGGGGGGGGTAATTCGCCAGCTTCATGAACTCGCTGCTGATTGTGTGGGAGCTGATTTCAGAGCAGCGGTCTAATGATTCTCGACTGTCTCTTCCATTTTGGTGAGGTCTTCTTCTGCCTAATTGGCTCGAGACAAATCCGGGTTGTGATTTGTCAGGGATGAGTTTTAGGTCAAAAAATAGCTTCTGTTTTTACTGATTTTGTGTTGAAATATGATGATTTCTTCATGACTTCTCAGACTGACAGTTTGAACGTTTGTTCGACAGCTCAAAGAGACTATTTCCAAAACGTTGCAGGAAAACAACCTCACGGGTTGTTTCTCTTTATTTCTCCTCTGCTGTCTGCTTGAGCTCGACAAACCTGCAAATGTCTTCCTCAAGAGGATTTTCAGGTAAAACTATTTGGGCCATTTTCATTATTTTCGTCCTTCGTTCTTTGTAATTTCCTGTCAAATCTGCTGTATCGTCTGTGAAGCTGTGAAGAAGCTGAAACACTCCCTCATGAAGGCTTTGTTCATCCAAAATACGACTCTATCTAAATCTGCCTGTAACGTTTAGAGATGTCGCGCTGACGGTGTCTCCGATAACAGACGGACAGTGTAGAGCTCGTTGGTTCGGTTTAAGGAGCGAGATCAGTTCTTCTCTTCGTATTTTTCTGGCGTTTGTTGGGCTGAGAGATCGTAGACGCGCTCCCATGTGCAACTTGAGAATAGAAGTTTTGATAATTGTGACTGTGAACTCTACCAACATACTTAACGGTCCACCAGAAAAGTTCGTCCTCTGGAGCACAAACAGGAACCCAGAAGCCAAACTTGGGAACAGCTTCCTCCAGGAAAAAGGTTCTCTGAAACAGTTCCAGTCATTGAAATAAGCATTCTGTGTGATTGCACACTGAATTTAGACATAAACACTTAAAATCAGCCACAAAAAAACAACCCTGTTTTCTTCACGTTGTTGTCCAACGGCTGCAGACTTTCAGGTGAGGAAAAAATACTTTTTTCTGTTCCTGCAGCAGCAGCAGCTCCCGGGCCTTGATTCTTTTGTGGGGATTTATTTCCACGTCTGCTCTCGGTTCCCCCGCCGCTGCAGGAGTCGGATAGTTAGGGAATCGATCAAGGTGTATTTTAGAGGGATAGCCTGTTCTCTGAACAGGGGATCTAAATTTTAAAAGGCTTCTTTTTAAGTGGAGGACGAGGCATGATCCCTCTCTGTGAAAAAGGCGTCGCTCTCTAAGTCTCTATCATTACCCGCTGACAGCCGGTCTTAGCTCGGGTCAGATCTCAAAGTCAATCTGTCCTCGTTTCCACCGCGAGAACAGAGAGGAAGAGAAAGAGGGAGATAGAGGGGTGAGCTCGTCTCTCCACAAAGAAAGAAAGAAAGAAAGAAAGGGAGGGAGGGAGGGAGGGATCGGGAAAGTGATTTGTAGGCAGAGAAAGAAACAGAGAAATACTCGGATGAAGAGACAGATTTGTCTTTTTTCAAAGAAAGGATGGAGAGATGGGAACGTGTGATTTTTAGATACAGAAAAGAGAGAAAGGATGGAATGCTCATCTTCTCAAAAAGGAGAAAGAAAGAAAGAGGCAGGAAGAATGAAAAATAAAACGCATCTTTTCACAAAGAAAGAGGGATCAGAACATGTGAGAGAAGTCAGAAATAAGGTGCTGCTTATGGAGGAGACACTTGTGAGGACAGAGGTGTAGAGATAAAAGAAGACAGAAAAGACGAAAGAATACTCGTCTTTGAGTTGATCTTAGAAGGACAAGATCTGTGTTTATCCAGGAAAGGGGAATAAACTGTAGAGTTGTGAAGGGAAAAGAGACGAAGAGAAGTACTCATTCTTTCACAATAAAAGCAGAGGAATGTGTCTGGCTCAAGTGCTGAACCATCTTTCTTGGGGAGAATAAATATATTGAACGTTTTACCAACGCTTATGTTAAAAACTTTGCTGTTTACTTCTGGTAGAGCTAGGCTAATGCTAGCACCAATATTGGCCCCAACAAGTACGAATGCAAGCGTTAGCATCTGACTTCCCTCCAGAAAGCAAAAGTTGACATTCAATTAGAGTTTCC